TGCTATTTTTAACCGACTTCAAAAAAAAGGAGGTTCTCAATGCAACTGTGTTTCTTTTGTATGCATGTTACGCGGTAATTCCAGATTCCTTTTTTTCTGTTGATCTAGATTCATAGAAAATATTCCATCTCTAAAGGTGGCAAAGTAGGTAATAAATCTGGTTTAGCGCACTTTCCGGTAACCGATTTCAATAAAACTTGGCAAATATATGTAATTCCACCAAGTTTTGAGGTCGGTTGTTTCAGTACTCTGTACTGAGATTATATTGGATAAGGAGGAATAAGGTAACAGACAAAAATATATCAACAAAGAACATATATGAATATAAACCTGCAATCCAATTAAAATATAGTTTAGTAGTATAGTAGACTTGAATACCTAAAAGAAGTTAATTTAAAAATTGCTTAACAAAGCAATTACAAGTGATTAAAAATAATATTGCAAGCAAATATCTCGAGACGTGAACAACGCAGTGGGGTTCCATGAAATTATTGTTACGTTTTGAAATAGCTATTAAACAAATATTGCTATATTATTTTTTAAGCTTATCGCATATTCCAATGCGCAGCTATCTTTGTTCGTAGGCTGATTTATGCAAGGTCATATTCGACGACCTCCGTGGTATAGAGGCTTGTCTCGGGTTTGTGTGTTTGCGTTGTTTCTGGTTTCTACTTTGGAATTAAAGCAACGTATGTGATGTTATCTAAGTAGCAGCAGAGCTCCTTGTGAAAGAATTCGTCTAGGGAAGTACTGCCATCTTATCTATTTCTGCCGCCAAGCTGTATCAACATTACTATGTTCCGGTTTTTAAGGGAAGGGTGGTAATGAAATTACAAGCACATGGGACTTTCAACTTATTTCTCGGAGTAACGGACACAGTGGTAGTACCCCTCGGATCTTTGTTATTTAAAGCTCTGAGTGGCACTGCAACTGTTATGGACAGGCGTGTAGCTTACCACCAGCCACAAGACTTGTTCGTCCCGTCTCTTAAAGTTATAAAAAGAAAATTATATCCATACCGCACCTTGTTGCGAACTATATTGGAAAACGTCGTCTTAATATGGAATCCATTTTATAAGTTGTATATTAACTCCCTTGAAAATATACTTACAGAAGAAATTTCTGGAGATGGTTAGTTACAGATATTTCAGGTACGTTACTGATTATGAAAGCTTGTTGTCTGCCTGTTTGGTATGTCAGGTCTTGAACAAAAAAAAGTCTTGAACAGCATAGAGTACTCTTGAGACCACATTTCTCTATAAAATCATAAACATACCCGTTCGTACACCTAGATATAAATTTTTTCTCACGCCCATTTTGTCGCACCAATACGCTCCCCAGTTTATAAGATGTGTTGTAATTATAATAATTGTTTCCAGGACGTGGATATACATATTTAGTACCCCATTGTACACGTGTATTTTTATTTTATTTAGTTATGTATTTATTTATTTTCTGGTTACAAAAGACCCATAAAACACGCACCTTTTAGACTAATATACATAATTATATGATAACTATTTATTTATTTACACGTATGGACCGGGACGTGTGACGCAACGTGGATATCCGATAGCCGTCCTCGGAAACGCCGGAACATGACACCCTTCGGCCAAAAGTCCTCCTTCATGAAGGTCGACAGATGTTGAGTTGGTACTCTCACCACAAATGAATTAAAATTGACCTTGTGGCGGGACTCCAACTGCTCGACCCTCAGAGCAGCATTGGCTTTCACCCGTATGTATTCCACAATATCCGCGGACTTAGGAGTAATGAAGTCGTGTAAGAAGTATAAGCATGAAGTTTCTATCATACTGAATAGTGGCTCCTTCTGATTACTATTGTATTATTTATTAATACAAAGATCGATCACTCAGAAAAAATACCTTCGATCCGGCCGGATTCGACCCGACGTCTTCTAGCTTACCGTGCCAGACGCTGTACCAACTAAGCCACGGAATGAACCAGCGGACCTCACGAATTTTTCTATGTGCGTGGGTCGTATCTTTGTATTTGGCTTTTTCAACGACTTTTTAGTCGTAGCGCCATCTATGAGAAATCTATGAAAGTTTTATCACACACTTAGATATCTTTACAGTTACCGTCCTGGCGAGAGATGTCGCTATTCACTGTATTTTATATTTTTATTGAATTGATATTCAATTATTTTTTGTAAAATTACTCCACTAGTTTGTTATATTTATTAATACAAAGATCGATCACTCAGGAAAAATTCCTTCGATCCGGCCAGATTCGAACCGACGTCTTCTAACTTACCGTGGCAGACGCTATACCAACGAAGGCACAGAACGAACCAGCGGACTACACGAATTTTTCTAAGTGCTTGCGTTGTATCTTTGTATTTGGTTTTTTCAACGACTTTTTAGTCATAGCGCCATCTATGAGAAATCTATAAAAGTTTTATCACCCAGTTAGATATCTTTACAGTTACCAGTCCTGGCGAGAGATGTCGCTATTCACAGAATTTTATATTTTTATTGAATTGATATTCAAGTATTTTTATTTTATTTATTTATTTATTTATGTATTTATTTATTTTCTGGTTACAAAAGACCCACAAAACAAGCACCTTTTAGACTGACATACATAATAATATGATAACTATTTATTTATTTACACGTATGGACCGCGACGTGTGACGCAACGTGGGTGTCCGATAGCCGTCCTCGGAAACGCCGTAACATGACACCCTTCGGCCAAAAGTCCTCCTTCATGAAGGTCGACAGCTATTGTATTTATAATTTATTATTGTAACTAATTGGATATGACTGTTATATATATGTATGTATGTGTGTGTATGTATAAATGAACATAATGTAAGTATGTGGCTATATAACAATCTTGCTTGTTCAATGTTTGTAATTTGCTTAGTATTAACGTAAACTGTTCGTGTTTATCAGATAAAATAAAAAAATATTATTATTATATGTCATATTAAAAAAAAATCTACATTCGTTTTTGTAATCTTCAACTTTTCATTTTTAATTTCGGTGTTGGCGAATTTTTACAATGATTTAATAATCTTGGAATTGTTATTAATAAAATATTAATACAGGAAACGAAACTATTTTCCGGATTTAAATCGCGTATATTTGTTTTTTCAAACAAACCAACGTTTCGGGCCCTTTACAGGTCCCATGGTCACGATTGACTGACAGAGTCATGTGTAACAATCGCGAAACCTAAAAACTCGATAAAATATTAATATTTATTTTTTTATCTTTATCGCTTTCATTGGATCGAATAACTGAACCCCCGATCAAAGACCTACCGTAGTTAAAAAAAGGTCAAATAAAAACAGAAACCGTCTTTTTTATTAATAAGTAAAATTGTCCACTTCAAAAGGGCGTTTTTATTACGTAATAGAATTATTTATAAAATTCATAGCTATACACTTTTTTACCTACGTAAATTAAAATTTGTGGATAGAAAGTATTTTCTGTGAGAAATGATTAAAGTAGCAGACTAAACTTTGTGTTAATGAGTAAAATCAATCCCTGTTTTTCTTTTGATACCCGGTTTTCTTTGAAAGTTGGTAGATAAGAGGGTTAGTTGCGTGAATAAAATACAAAAGCACGATAACAACTTTCATTCAACGTGTTCAACGTGCTAGGTCACGTTTCACAGGAAATTAATATACTTTAAAAGAAAATAAATTTATAAGGTAACTTTATATTTTGCTTGACTCTCTCCGGCTATAAATAAAAATGACATTTTGGAATATGAAAATAATTTATCTGAAGAGATCAAATGAGGCTTGTAAAATCAATGAAGATGAGCATGTTTCTTCGAAAAACTTTGTATAGGAATCGAGTGAAATTATCTAACGTATGTTTTAGTTTTATTAAAAATAGCGTAGCGCTTTGGAAATGTAATTACTTTTTCGTATGTAAAATTCTGCTGGTGAAATTATAGGCACATGAGACTTCTCAACTTATGTCTCAGGGTGACGGACGCAGTGGTATTGCCCTTCAGATCTTTGTAATTTAAAGCTCTGAGTGGCACTGTAACTGTCATGGACAGACGTGTAGCTTACCATCGAGCGCACGACTTGTTCGTCCCGTCACTTGATATTATAAAAAAAACCTGTATATTTTTTTTTCAAACAAATCCATGTTCCGGACTCTTTACATGTTTACGGTCACGGACGATAATTACACAGTTTATTTTATGCTTCTTTTATTTTACCACTACATCATTTGAATAATATTGTTACTACCTTTACTGTGCTATCCGTCGCCGCGTAGAGATCATCTCGTGTTTTTTTTTAATAATATCATCTGACGGGACGACCAAGTCGTGCGCCTGGTTGTAAACGACACGCTTATCTATAACAGTTACAGTGACACTTAGAGCTTTAAATAGCAAAGATTTAAGGCTCTGAGACATAAGTGGACAAGTTCCATGTGCCCGTAATTTTGTCAGCACCCTTACCCTTCCAAACCGGTAATGTTGACATTATTGCTTGGCGGTAGAAATGGGTAAGGTGGCAATACTTCCATTGACAAACTCTTTCACAAGGACTTCAACTGCTAATGATATCTCCTACAGGCATTAAAGCACGAGGGGCACACGAGCAAGTGCAGCATGGACTGTTTTGGGGCAAGGCAGTCGTAGCAGTAGACTAGTGAAACAATTAGTCCAGGGAAGTATTGCCACCTTACCTATTTCTGTCGCCAAGCAGTAATGTAAGCAGTACTGCGTTCTAGTTTCAAAGGGTAAAGGTGCTGGTGAAATTACAGGCACATGGAACTTGTGAACTTATGTTTCAGGCTGAAGGGCACAGTGGCAGTGCCCCTCAGATCTTCGTGATTGAATGATCTGAGTGACACTTCAACTGCTATAGTACCCCTATGGGTACGATTTGTTCGTCCGTAAAAAATATAGTTTCATTGTAATTGACTATAATGATTAAATCAATTGCCTGATCACTTGTCTAGTATTTTTATGTTGCTACTTAAAGAAAGGTACTAATTTACCTGGTCTCATTATCAGGCATGATGTTTCCCGAGCGGTCTACTAGCTCGAAACGTACCAAATTCACTCCATCAGCCAATGGGACGATGTCAGGTGTCAGAGAACGATCCAGAGCTCTCAAGGTTTTGCGCTTCATGCATCTGACGAATTTCGGAAAGTATTCTTTGTGGTCGATAACATCTTTTACATCGACTAGCTGAAATAAATAGTTGTTTGTTAATATAAAGCTCTATCGAGTTCCTAGGTTTTCGCGATTGTTATATATAGGAAATGAAACTGTTTTTCGGATCTAAATGGCGCATAATATATTATAATATATATTTCGAGTCCTTTGCAGGTCTCATGGTCAGTCAGCAGTGACCATGGGACCTGAGGGCCTACCACAACCTCTTAAAACAATATAACTTTACATTACCGTACATTGACTTTTCGTACCATAACGCGATTAAAGTAAGCTTATTGTAATGTTAAAACTATGATGTTTTATTGGCAGCTTTATGACTATTCATTCACTCAGTTCGTACTATGACGCGACTTAACATTAAAGTAATATTGTTCTTATTTCAAATTTAGCAATCTTAAAATAGTTACACGGATGCAATAGAAACAATATTATTTTCAGTTTAATTGTCTTAATATTGATTTGTAATGACTAAAAGTTAATTTGAACTTATTTATTTACAATTCAATATTCAATATTTTCTTCTGTTCAATATTTTGTTTACTTTTTATTTAATAGCACATAGGAAATAATTTATCGTTAAATAAAAATACGCGATGTTTATTCCGTACAATTATGATAGCGACATCTATGTGCACCTTGGCGAAACTAACAGTTGACACTAGACTATAATTCCGAATTCACAACGTAACTATCAAGACTCAACTTGTTTTTTTTTTCTTCATGAAAATGCAGAAAAATAATTGTAAACAACGTAATTTTAATAGATTTCATTATTACATACTTTTCATTTTTTGGCAATTAAAATCCTCTGAATGTAAATAATATTAAATACTTTAACATTATACATCGATAGGACTATTCGGAACATCAAAAAAGAAAGAGATGGCATTGTACAATTCATATAGCGTTATTTCTTTCCTATTTTTAGTAAGGAATAGACAATATTGGAAAATCATTCGTTCTTTCAGTCACTTTAGCAATAATATATTACTTATTTGATAGGTTTGTCATGGTACGAATATGAGTAATATAATAATAAGCTTACTTTAAGCTTATATTGAAATGAAAAGGTTACGGTATGCCCCCAGAGGAGTTATTCACGTAAGTTCAAGCTATCAAAATATCGTTGAAGTTACGTAGTCGTTCGCTCGAAGTTCTATCCAAAATTGGTATTCACGCATCACTTGAACGAACGTTGATATGAATACAATCGAAACGTAACGACTAATGAACGATATCTTGAATTGTGATATTTGGCGTTTAGTCGTCGAAAGTCTATTGAAAGAACTGTCACGATCTCTGAAATTTTAGCAGAATAGGCGTGACTTGTCGTTTAGAACCGATTTAAATTCGATTCATATACCAGAATACGCTTTAACGACCTTTGGATAGAACGACTTTAAAATTAAAATTAGTGAAGTTCGACTGTCCTATGTGAATACGAAAAAGCAGTTCAACGGCTAAATCGCTACGATGTCGTAACGGTTTGGTGGCGTGAATAGGACCACTTTAAGGGCCCGATACATTTATTTGTTTGAAAAATAAATGCACGCAAAGATCCGAATATACATAACATTTTATAAAAAAAAATTGACCTCAAAAGTTCATGGAATTACATTCATTTGCCAAGTGTTATTGAAATCGGTTACCTTACTACTTTACTTTTACTTTTTATTACTTTGCCACCCCTAAGAGATGAAATATTTTTTTCAATTGAAGTGGGACTAATGGGGTGTACCTTGGTGTACCTTCCTCTAAGTGTCTTCCTTTTAAGTGGGGTACCTTCTTTTCAACAAAAAAAAAACATCAATTTCGGTCACAAACCGAAAGTTAGAGAGTTAGTTAGAGTAACCGCGTAACATACGTACAAAAAAATACAGTCGAATTGAGAACCTCCTCCATTTTTGAAGTCGGTTAAAAATAGTTTAATATCCTAAATATGAAGCTGTCTTATAAAGGTTGAATTATTGCAAGAACACACTGTTTCATGAGTTGATAGCAATGATGATGAATGATGGCTGGATTAATCTAGGCAAGTATATAAAATTAAATGTCTATTAATGCTATGCTAAATATACAAATCAAAATAATCTTTATTTCACAGGTAAGCATATTATACTTAAAATCGATACATTTGTTAAACTTTACCGCTCATTCTTAAGGCAGATTCCCCTGAGAAGAATGAGCAAGAAACTCTAGGGGTTGCTCGTTGTAAATAAACATTAGTACACATTTATCATTAACAATTGGTTTTTTTTTCATACATCATAGATCTAGACTACCTCCAAGAGCTAAACGGATTACTATACATCCACCGATTTTTGTCATCCAAGTATGCACAAGTTGTTAATAGACTTTAGTATAAAGTTTTGATTCATTATAGTTTTAAGCCTCGTGAATGGCAAATTTTGTACATCAACCGGAATCGTGTTATAGAAGTATATATGTACAACGCCCATTAAATGAATTTGTGACTTTGTGAAGACGACTATCAAGAACAGCTAGTTTATTTTTATTCCTCTTATTAATGTTATGTCCGTCACTATTTTTCATAAAAAAAATTCTATTCTTCTCAAAATAATTTACATTTTCATAGATGTACTGTGACGTTAGTGTAAGAATGTTATTCTCTTTAAACTTATCTCTCAAAGACACTCTGGGGCCGAGATTGTAAATTGCCCTAACCGGACGTTTCTGCAGGACAAAGATTCTTTGAATATCGGCGTATTATTCCAAAGCAAAATTGCCGTATGTCATTAAACTGTGGAAGTAGCTGAAGTAAACCAATCTAGCTGATTCGACGTCTGAAGGTTTCTAATTTCTGTTTATCGCGTACACTGCAGAGCTGGGCTGTTTTGGTACCTTATTTATTAGTGGACCTTTGGCTTGTGGTCTTTAAAGTTATCTCTCAATCCTAGCAAGTTTTAAGTACTCTATGGTCATATGTAGTATATATTATTATAACCCTACATTTGAATGCAATATTTTCAGTATAGTACATTGGGCATTTACGTGATCATGATATTGTCTGGGTCTGAATCACTTCATATACGTACATTTTGATATACATACAAAGGGCCTTAGGAGATTAAAGATAGGCAAGGAAAAAATACCGCCTTTATTGCACATATTCTATTATATAACTTTTTAACATCGCAGAAATACGATTCTGAGAAAATGATATCAAACATCAGAAATAGGAAGTGCATATCGACTTCAAAAGTTTCGCTTCAATAAATCAAGTAGAATCAGAATTCATAGGATTGTAACTGTCTCCAGTGAAGTGAAATGGAAGTATATCATTATGAAAACATCACGCTTCTGTGGACTTTGTAAACTATTAGAAACGTGCTGCAATTCAAGCTAATAAAGTAGAATCTAAATAGAACTCTAACGCACTTAAGTAAAAGAGCATCATAATAAAATGTGTATTAGATGCGAGGATAGGTGAACGCTCTGACTAACGCCCCCGCTCTTAAAATGTCAAATTCCATTCAGATGAAGGGATATTCTAAAAAAAATAATGAACTAAAATCACTCACAATCACATTATGATTTTTCATGTTCGTCCCGTCATTTGATATTATAAAGAAAATATTTTATATGATATTAGTGTTTATTTTTTGACGATCTCGGTGGCTTACGGTTTACATTGTGGGCGCTAGATGCGAAAGTCCCGAGTTCGATTCCCGGTAGAACCAATATGGAAAAGGAGCTTTTCTAAATTGGGTGTTCTGGCAAGTGCCGAAGAATTACATTGGTCTGGTTTTACTACAGGGAATGCCCAAAATTGAGACCTGGCAATTGATGTGGTTGTCTGGCGCATATTATGTACGTATTATTACAGCTTTTTATTATATACTCGTATTATTATTTACGTAAACATTTTAATAATATATATATTTATTATCATTATTTATATAGACTGTCTACTACTACTAGTTAAAACACTTTCATTACAAAATATTGCTCATGATATCATAACTGATATCATGAGCATGTCATGGATAAACTTACACATTCAATAAAGTTTGACAACTCCCAGGCCCTTGCAAAAGAAGTCCGTTAAATACCCAAGATGCTACGAGAGGCCATTGAAATTAAAAAAACATCCTAATTTCAACAGGGAAGATGGTTTCTCCGTACCACCAGTTTGGGATCCAGTATTTCCTCTAATGAAAAATCCCAAACATACATAAGACTGCATTACTAATTAATATGTTTTAGTTTATACTAATTTCTATTATTAACTAATAATAAATTGGACTTAATAAAAAATCATTCAAAATAAATAAAAAATAAAATAATTTGTAAAACTTAATGTAGCATAAATTGAAATGTTTCTTCGTAAAATTAAAAATAAGGTATTTAATTAATAACTATTGTAACTATAGTGAAAAAATAGTGGTGGTTTGCATCAACATCTGACATAACTGGTTGAAGACTGTACCACCTCAGTCAACCGTGACCATGGGACCTGTAAAGGGCCCGAAACGTCGGTTTGTTCGAAAAAACAAATATACGCGATTTAAATCCCGAAATAACGTTTAATTTCCTAAATAATAGTTTAATTTAATGTGTAACAATCGCGAAAACCTAAGAACTCGATAATAACAAAGTAGTGAAAGTATTTTCACAAAAAATTTATGTTTATCATGGTACTAAAAACATCTTTCAATAAATAAATATTATAATGAACTAAATGTTTGTAGGAACTGCACTGTGCCTATGATTTAAATGTAAAAAGAACCTGGTTCTTAGATAAAAAGAATAATAGCTAAAGATGTAAATTAACAAAAAGCAAATGAACAGTGGTCCAATTTTATTCTTTTTTAGATCATTAATATTTAAAAGCGAAAAGAATGGGGTTTTTAATTTACATTTCACAATACCGTTCAAAGATTTTCACTGTACTGTAAAATTGTTTTTCTTAGCATGAATATCAAGCAGACCAATGGTATATCTTAAAAGGTCGAGATGAAAGGCGTCTAAAAATAATTTTGCACATTTCC